CAGTTTGTCTCGCAGTAAAAACAAATTGAATATCTCGGGATTAGGTAGTTCTATACAATTTCTCCAGTTAATTTACTTAGTAAGAGTTTTTCGTTCTACTTTTTATTTTTATCGACACCTGTGAATAAGGACAATTCCTGTTGATATTATAATTAAAGTGTTACTCAAAATTAAATGCACCAGAACAACATGTTTGATGAATATCTTAAATGCATTTTGAAAGAAAAAAATTGTCCTACCATAAAGCAGAGTTTTCTGATTCTCAGACCTTCCAGGTCTCTCACGGACATGCGATCCCTCCTTTCAGGCCGTTAGCGACCTAGACTGTCTGAGAGTCAGGCTACCCGAAGTTCCACTATTATTGTACCATTTAATATTGAAAGGGTTCGAACGTGTCTCGCCCTGTATACTGTGGCCTGGTAAGTAGTGCTTCATATAATTTATCTCGTCCGTCTCTGTAATCTGGCTCAATATCTTCAAGTTCACTTGAGTTATTAGAGTCGACACATTCTTCCACGTTCACACGCTGCTGTGCTAACTCACCAGTAAAGCTTTCACGAAGCTGTGAAAATAACTCGTAGATTCGTCTATTGGAGTACTGGCAAGACGTTGTGTAGTTTAAACATGCTTGGATGCAGACAACTGCAATCTTTATAAGGCGGTATATGACATAACAAGACGCTACGCCGACAAACACAACCACGGCAAAATTAAAAAGAAATCCGAAAACGATAGAGGAAGACACCACCAGGAAAGCCATAAACGAACAGAAAACACACATTAACGGAATCGCCATGACAGCAAGGATTAGAAGAAAAAGAGAGAAAGCTACAAGGCAGATGATTCCAAGCACTGTGAAAAGAATGGCGTGATTCTGAACAAATCGTTTGATTTTCTTGATCTTTCTCATGGTATCACTTAACTGAAGCCTTTCCACTTGTACGTGAAGGCGGAGCAGTAACCATATTCATGATGATATCGGGCAAAATCTAAACACAAGAAACAAATCAGATATTGCATTTCTCCTGACCAAGAGTCTA